CGCTCGGCGATGAACATCGAGTAGCGGCCGATGATGTGTCCGAGGTAGGGGCGTTGCTCCGGGGCCAGCATGCGCTGCAACAGGACATCCGGCTCGAGCTCGGGGTGGAGGATGAAGAGGTGGTAGAAGAGGTAAGCCCACGCAGCACACGTTCCGTCCTCATGTCCGAGCAACGTCGTCCGGTTGCCCTGCAGTCCCTGCGGCCCCTGTCCCCGGATGCTATCTCCCGACACCATATCGGTCACAAAGCTTGTCGTGTGCCACTCTGATGGCGTGAGGTTGCCGCTGGAAACGAGATGCTCGTATATGGCGGAAAGCGCGATCAGGGCGTGGGTGACTCGGAACGCGCCTTCGTTGTCGGGGTCGAAGCCGTTGGACTCGAACAGGTACGCGTGTCCGGTGCCGCGGTTGATCAGCAAAAACAGCGCGTGGCTATCCATCCTGGTGTAGCCGACACCGACTGCAATGGGCAGCCACGGTCGCTCGGTGCCGCACTTTACGATGCCGTGGGATTTGAGCCAGCTGCCTTCCTTGGAGGTTGTATGGAAGGGCCCATCGCTGAACAGTTGCGTGGTGTTCACCCGGAACATTCCGGGCGGTTGGCGGAGCGTGTGCATGACGCCATCCATGACACGCTGTCGAATGTTGGCAATGTCCGTGTTGTTCGCCCGTGCGAAAGCCGCCAGGATTTCGTCGTCGCTCATTGTGAATCCGTTGACGAGTCGATTCCAGATACCTCGCTCGACGTTGAGCGTCAGCGGCCGGCCGTACGGATTGACGGAGCACAGATCGCGCACGCGTTCGTGCGTGGCGAGCGCGCTGGTGAAGTCGGACCAGTAGAAATACTGGAGGGAGGTCCCGTGGAGCTCGTGTTGCGATAGGAACCTGCGATCCTTAGCGCTGCCGACCTCGTACGGATAGAGGGAATGGCTCACGCTGGCGAAGATGCCCAGCTGCTGGTCTGTCAATCGCGGCGTCGCCAGGAATGCCTCCAGCTGCGGTTTCTTGGCGTTCGGGCATGGGACGTGGATGTTGGAGCGGCCGTAACTCCTCCAACCGAGGCGGAGGAGCTCCGAATAACTGGGCTTGGGTTTGGGTCGTTTGAGTACGACCGCCTTCGTTCCTGGCAGCGGCTGCGGCTGCGGCTGCTCCGCCGGTTTCGGGGGCGCGACGGTGGCGGCGCGCGATCCCGCGTTCGTGCGTTTGGCCAGCCGTGGAGGCTTTGCTTCCAGGAGTCGGATGATGTCGGCCTTGAGCGCTTTGGGCGGAATGGCAATGTTCATCTGCTTGGCCTTTGCGCGCAGCTGTGCGATGGTCAGTGGTTTCGCCGCGGCTGCCGGCTTTCGTATGGGGGCCTTTGCCGGAGCAAGCGCCGCGATGAGGTCGGCCTTGCGCATGCGGCTGTAGCCGGCGATGCGCGCCGCCGATGCCAGCTTGAGCAGCTCTGTCACGGTTTTGGTTTCCAGCGCATTGGCGGATGGTTTCGGCATCGCGATTTGCAAGGATCCGAGATTATTTATTCACGATGTTGCCGTGATTTTGTATCCCATATCCCATCCGGGCAGCGATTCGGCCGACGAGGGCACCAACGGCGACAAATACTTGACCCAACAGTTGGGTCCCGATCCGTTGCTCAGACGATCGTACAGCCACCCGTTGCATTCGCTGGTGGTATCGCACACGGACTGGCACTGCTGATCGCTGGTGACGTGCACGCCGCCCTGCACGAGATCGCACGATCCGCTCAGATTGCCGCATGGGATCTGCTGATCCTTCAATACGATGTATGTCGAGTTCTTCTTTTTAAAGTCGAGGTAGATGCCGATGAACACGGCGGCGATGACGACGATCATGCCCAGGCCGATCAGCGTGGCCATGCCGCGGCCTTCGGGTGTCGACATTTGGGATCGGCATTGGCAAACAATCACGGGCGAACTGGACGCGCCAAAACACAAATATAAGGGGGGGGGCGTCGCTTGCATTTTGCGACAACACGATGGACACCGACGATTACCTCGATTACATCAGCAAGAGATCCGAGCACATGCTACTATGCGCTCAACGAGGAAGACAAGGAGGCCAATCGCGGCGGCTTCTGAGGGCCGGTTGGACATCACACCGTTCATCAAATGGCTCGTGGAGCTTGGATTCGATGCGCACCACCTCCAATCGGAGCATAAAAAGTCGTACGGATGGTTGATTGAAACAAAATAGCTCATTGATGTTGGGCGATTCTGCCGTTTGTCACGCGAGCCGGTGCCGTGCCGGGAAACACGGTGCCCATGGTCATGGATGCCAGCGCAATGAGCGCATTCTGAGGCACCACGTCGACCTTGAGGTTGACTGGCATGTTGCGCATGGACTTGTTGGTCATGCCGATTGCGGTGCATGCCAGCAGGCTGCTTAGGTTTGGTGATCCATAGACAGGCTGCATGTCGCTGGCGCAGGTCTGAATGCCATCCGAGTTTGGCGAGCACGTCGAGGCCACGTTGGAAAAGGTGCCGCAAGTGCCTGGAGCCAGATACACACCCGATCCGTCTGGGTAGCTGAGCGAAAAGTGGGGAGTCGTCGCGGCGGGCAGATTTTCGATGATCGCGCTGGCGTTGAGCGCGTAGGCGCCGTCGTTGGCCGACGATGCCACCCACCTGGCACTGACACTGCGCACCGCAAGCTTGGCGATGTTTGTCGATCCGGTGATGGTCGCGTTGTCACTGTACTCGTTCTTGGCGTAGAGATCGAGCTGGTATCGCCCGCTGACGATCGGCTGCGGCAGCCCGATCCTGGTGGCGGCGCTCTCGCTGTGGTACTGCTTGCCCGATGGATCGGTGATCGTGCTCACGTACGACACGGAGGCCATCGCGTCCTCGCTGGTGGGCACCGCGTCCCGCTCAAAGTAGTAGCCCGTGGTCGGGTGGCTGACGCTGCCGCCGGGTGGTACGTACCGGATGGCGTTGGCGGGGAAGGGTTGGGGCTTCAAGTCAAGCGTCCCATTGAATGTCGCCGACGGTCCCGTGCCAAACTGATTGCTGGCCGCGATGGTGATCGCGTAGGTGCCGTCCTTGAGCGGCGTCGGCAGGAAAGCCACGTTGCTGCCAACGGTGGCTTGGGGCGTCTTGTCGCCCGAAGGATCCGTGATGGAGTAGCTGTAGCTCATGGAGTATCCGGCGCCAGATCCGTTGGTCGGTGGATCCCAGGTGAACACGAATCCAGCGGTGTGCGGCTGCCCGTAGAACGCGCTGACGAAGGCGTCATGTGGCTCGAGGCGCACGTTGCGTACCGATCCGATCAGCGTGTCGGATTGTGATGACTTGCCATGGGTCCTCTTGTAGATCACCCACCCGATGACCGCAAACACGATAACGACAACGATGATGGCAACGGCACCCCACATGTTTGCTGAGTGGCACATCCGGGCATATATTTGATTCGCCATTACTGGCTCATGTGGATGTTGGACATGGATGCCGGGGTCGACGATCTGGGGAACTTTGACGCGACGGTGGCGGGCGTGGGCTGTGACGATCCGGCCATTGGAGAGAGCGCGCGGAAGACCAGATTGAGTGCCTTGCCGTGGGACGCGCGATTGGTGGTCGAACGCCAAGCAGGCGGGAACCTTGCTTGGATCGACACCGTAGGTGGGCGCAGTCGCGGCCACGCACCGACTGGTGCCGCTGCCCATGGAGGTGCACGTGGTGGAGAGGGGCAAGGCGCTGCATCCGCCCTGCATGATCACGGGGCTGCCGTCGGGATACTGCGGCTCGACGGTGATCCGATCGCCGCTCTCGTACCCAGTCACGTCAGCCGACAGCTGGAGCGTGTAGGCGCCGGGCGACTCGAGTTGGCCACCCAGTTGGCGCTGGTGCCGGTGATGCTGAACACCACCACCGCGCCCTGGCCGGTGGCGCTCGGACCCTGGCCGTACTTGTTGCTTGGGGTGATCTGGATGGCGTAGGTGCCGTTCATGGCGGGTTGCGGGATGGGCCACGCCGGACCCTGCGTCTGGCCCGTGGTGGACACACCCTTGGGATCGGTGAGCTTGACGGTGTAGCTGACCGGCGCATCCGAGTCGAGTCCGGCTTTTTGTGTTTGAGATGATAACGCTCGCTTTGCTCAATCAGCAGGAAGTGATCGGATGGTACACGGTACTCGATCTCGCACTGGGAGTCGCGCGATATCCAACGGCGGTCGACGAGACGCTCGCGGTGCATGCAGTCGAGCCCTAAGCCATCGTAGTACCCGAGCTTGACGGTGAACACGGATCTAGGCCTCGGATTCGGTCAGATGGGGGCGGCAGTGTCTCCTTGGGCATCTGCGAAACTTTACTGGCGCACGCCACGTTTTTCAAATCCTTGGGATGGATGAAGCCCGGATCAGGCCACGAGCCGTCGTCGATTTCTGAGACAACATTGCGTTGCGTGGGCTTCGTTTCACGGTTGTTTTTTTTATGCCTGCTGGCGTGTTCTTTACAAAGGGACCAACATACCGGATTCGATACGCCCCGAATCCGATTGCCTGTAGTCTTACGATCTCGGCGAGGGATTAGTTATTGCCATCGCGTTCTGTAATCATCGGCACTCCACCCGTCGATGGTCGGGAAGGCACGTGTGGTAAAATGCGTGCTGTAACCCGAAAAATGCCTCTTTTGTTTCAGCAAAGGGAGCTGACACAAACCAGGGCAGTATGTTTCCGGAAATTCGTATTTCCTTTGGAATTTCAAAGAAACTGGGGAGCCCTTATAACACTGTAATTTTTATTTTTTTTATCAGTTCTTCCATTACCCAACGCGCACCATGAACAGCACCAAGAGGCACTATTCACAGAGGAGCATCAAGAAAGCCGCCAAGATTATTGGCCTGGCAGCACAGCAGCCCGAGCCAGTAAAGCAGGCAGTACAGCAAGCTGTCACTCAAGCTCTTGCTCATGTCATCTATGATGACGTCTTCAGTATGACATCAACTTGATCAAAGATTGAATGCCACCGACTCAACCTTGAGTTTTGACATCCGCCTGTCAACCTTCCATCCCCCTCTACTGTCTTTTTATACACTTTTAATGGAAATGTTCCACCCCAAGCCCAGGATGCAACACACCAGATCATTGTACATATTCGCCATCGTGCGATGTGGATGTTGGGTGTGATGGCCTTATTAAACAGCCAAGGAGAATTTTATTGATGTCTGTGGGTGGTAGCCCTCCAGCGTGAAATACTTGCTGCACACATCGTCCAGTGTTGGTTTGCGATTGATGATGAGTCGTGGGGGATTGGATGGTGTGTGTGAGATCTGCTCTTTCATTCTGTTGACGTGGTGTTTGTAGATGTGTGCGTCGCCCATTGTGAAGATGAGTGATCCCAGATTCTTGTCTGTGATCCATGTGATGAGGCACAGCAGCGTGGCAAATGATGTGATGTTGAATGGCAATGTGAGTGCAACATTGATGCTGTGCATGTTGAGTAGCAGATTCATGGTCATGTGATTGGGGCTCATGTTGAACTGCATAAAGTTGTGGCAAGGCAGAAGTGCCATCTTGTTGAGATCCAACAAGTTCCATGCCAAGATGATGTTCCAGCGGCTGCCTGGATCCTCAATGATGAGCTGAATTGCCTTGGCCATCTGATCAATGCTGTTTTCTTCACAGGTATGTCATGACTCAACCCCCAACATGGACAAGTGATATAGGAGCATGTCACTGTCACACTCATGTTGTGCTGCCAGTTCAACATCTATTGGATGATGTGCGCCCCATTGCCTCCACTGATGGCTGTACAGTGCACATCAGCGGTCAAGCCCACCAGTGCCACTGCAAGCACCAATGGCAATTTGGAGCTGCATCTTGGGCTTGGTCTTGGCATTGGCCTTGGCATTGGCGTCATCTTGCTCCTACTCTTCACATTTGTCTGTGTTCTGGCTGCACTCAGCGTGGGCATCATGCAGCACAAGCATGAGTGACCCACATGGGACACATTGATATCTGACATCAAGTTTGGCAATCTGATCAGCACCAGCAGCAACAGCAACATCCACAAGGCCAAGTGGCGCAGCACTGAAGTCGCCATCAAGATGTTCACCACCCACCACACCCATTTCTCCTGCAACAAGCTGCATAAACTGCGTGGAGAGGTTGACATCATGAACTCCATGCGCCATCCAAATGTGATCACGTTCTACGCCACATGCACCAAGCCTCTGGATCTGTGCATCATCATGGAGCACATGGAGCTGGGCTTGCTGTTAGATCTCCTCAAGAACAAGCTCATGGAGTACCTGCCACTGGCACTTCACATCAAGCTTGCACTCAGGATCACCAAGGGCATGCACTACATCCACTCACAGGGCATCGTCCACCGCAATCTCAAGTCGCCCAATGTGCTCATTGACTCCAAGTGGAACGCCAAGGTCGCTGACTTTGGTCTCAGCACAGCGCAACGCGCCATGGGGAACGAACAGGCGGGCCTCAGCATCCCCTGGGCGGCGCCCGAGATCCTCAGCGATTCAACCATGGCTGATGGCGTGTTGGCCAACATCTACTTGTTTGGTATCATATTGTGGGAGATCATCACATGCAAGAAGCTGTCATCTGTGACCAGAAGTGACCTGTGTTTGTTGATGATGTGGTGCCCTTGCTGTATCTCAACGCCCAGGACCTTGTTTATGAGAAGGAGATTGCTGAGATGCAAGATCTCATGTGTTGCTGTTGGGCCCAGGATGTTGTTGAATGACTGACGCTGCTGGAGATCATCAATGCCCTCAACATCATTGTGGGTGTGTGTGCCCCCAAGAAGTGCATTGACGACTCAGGCGACAACTCTGGCAGCATGATGTGTGGATTGTTGTCCAGATCCAACGTGTTGTCCATGTGATCCATCTATGGCAACGTCCAGCTGACTGCCCATGGGTATGGCATGACCCAACCACCACTGCACAATGGTGATGTCTACATCATCATCAGTGACATCTCCACAGCCAATCAGCTGTGGGAGCTCAACCACTCAGCAGCATGCAAGGCCACCATGATCCACAATGCACTCATGTGCAATCTCATGATGACCCACAATGGCTATGAGGTGCACATGTCTGGCCTCAAGGCAAGCATGGGCACTGGCACCTTCTGCATCACCTTCCACCAGGCCATTGACACTGTGGCCTGGTGCTCCAGCACACAGCACACCCTTGTCATCACCAACTGGCCTGCAGGGTTGCTGTGCATCAACAGCACACACACCAAGTATGGCAACTTGTCCAACAAACACTTTGTCTACCACGGACTGCGTGTGTGCATGGGCGTGCACATTGGCCTGGTGTGTCACATCATGGACCCCAAGACACACCACATCAAGTACATTGGTCCAGCGGTGAAGGGAGCCATGGCCATTGCACATGTGTCATCAGGCAGTCAGGTGCTCATGTCACCCAACGTCAAGGCCGAGCTCACTGACCTGCCCAATGAGATTGGGTGGATGTGTCCCCTTTGGATCCAACACATGGGCAATGTTGATCTCAAGCAAGCGGCGCCCAAGGGGATCCCCTACCAGCTGATCATGAACTCACTTGAGATGCACGCCAAGAATCATGTGTGGTTCAATGAAGACGATGACAGTGATGACTGTGATGTGCTCCAGCTGCCCGCTGAGGACATGAGCCTGCTGGTGTCAGCCAACAAGTGCCAGTGGTTTATTGACCTGTGTGAGATTGAGACTGGCAAGGTGATTGGCTGTGGGATGAGCGCCATCATCTACAGGGGCCTGTGGAGCAAGTGGACACTGGTTGCTGTCAAGATCTTCAACCAGTTGAAAATGACTGAGGAGCAGACGCTCTGATTCTGTGTTGAGGTGGCCACTCTCACTGAGCTCTCACAGCCCAATGTCCTGCTCTTCATCAGCACCACCATTGGCGACAAGCACCTCTTGCTTGTCACTGAGTTCGTGCCCTGTGGCAGCCTCGCCAGTGTGCTTGCCAACACCTCCAAGTACCCACTCATGTTCACCCAGCACATGCACATGGCCTATGGCACTGCACATGGCATGCACTACCTCCACTCACTTGATCTGCTGCTGCTCCACTGTGATCTCAAGTTGTTGAACCTGCTTGTGGATGACTGCCTCACTGTCAAGGTGGCTGACTTTGGCTTTGTGTGCATCAAGGAGAACAATGCCACCATGACCAACTGTGGCATGCCCACGTGGAGTGCGCCTGAGGTGATCCAGGGCCTTGACTATGGCATGTGGGCCAACATCTATTTGTTTGGTGTCATCCTGTGGGAGATTCTCATGTGCAAGGTGCTGTACACCAATGAGCTGTTCATGTGTGTGGTCATGTCCATCATTGAAGGCAAGCACCCACACATCATGTTGGATTGTCCTGAAGCACTGCACTGACTCATCAAGTGATGTTGGCACACCAAGCCGGCCAAGAGGCCCTCCATGGAGAGTGTGTGTGAGCAACTGGTGGACATCATTGGTGCATGTGGTGATGCCATACTTGATGTGTAAAACTTGTCATCACCAACAGCAACAATGTCTTTGCTTTTTTTGGCACACTTTCTGGCAATGTGAACGATGGACAGGCCCTTGGACAGTTTCAGATCATCACAACGCCACAAGTCATAAAGATTGAAAAGGATCATCAGTTCGTCCTGTTTGAGGATCTGGAACAAAAACAAGATCTGCGTGAAATGCAGCAATCAGCACACTGGCATCTACTATTACATTATCAAAGCTTCATTTGGTCCCTCCAATTGAGAATAAACATTAAACAACAGCAAGGATCCAATGCACTTTTCCTTAATCATTCAGGGTGGTGGGTGTGTTTATTGATCAAACAAAGTCCTTTGCCTCAGATCCTTGATGGATTTGATCTGGATCTGGAGTGCTGCCTTACTACAGCATCATCAACATCCCTCTTCAGATCCTCTTCAATATCATGCAATTTTATGGCATACCCCTCATAGATCACATGTTTCTCCTTGGCACAATTGACAGCCTCACCTTTGCACTGCTCAGTTGATTCAATTCTCTTCACCTTGTCATGTGAGATGATACAGGTCATGTAGACATGCAAGTGCAACTCTCTTCAACACACACAGGCCAAACACAGTCCAGATAGTCCCAACCATCAAGGTATTTGATCAGCACAGGCACATACTCACCCAAACATCCCAGCTGTGCAATGGCCAGTCAGAACTCATTCACAATGTCATCATGATCACAGATCATTTCAAACACAATCAGACACTCACCAGCTGTAGGTTTCCCTCCATCAACAAATCTGGGCAGTTTGCTGATTAAGTCATACTCAACAAGTGCATTGGTTACAGATCACACAGTGACAATACTGCCCAGAGCACATTTACATGGGTTGCTCTGCATGGTGTTGGTGGTACTATGGCAACAACCATGGTTGCCTCTATAAGGTCTGACATGGCCAATGTGAGCTCACATGGACACCAGTTTGATTACACAGCCAATCACAGATCTGTTTGGCACCATAAATAGTCCAAATTTGGGCCTTGTGTCACTCTCCGCACCTCACTGCCACCAAGAGACATGCACACCCTCACTGTTCTGCTTTTGCTGGCCATGCTTGCCACCCTTGCCACCAGCCAGGGCTCGCCACTCTACTTTGGCACCACCATGTTCACCTTCCACACAGCCAGCTCACCCCTGGCCAACTGCATCCACGACACATCGGCGACTGCCAGCCCCCTCAAGTGCAACATCAGCAACTCAGACCTCACCTTGTGGACCCTCACTGGCCCCACTGTCACCCCTGGCGATGAGGCCCTCAGCCCCACCACGCCCGCCATGCTCAACCCCTATGGAAGTGGATCATTGACCCAGTGGTGCATCCCCAAGAACTCAACCAGCTATTTGGACCAGAACACTGTTTTGTGCAACAGTGTGCCCATCCTTGGCTGGTTGATGTTCATCAAGACCTCAGGCTACTATGGCAATGGCATCTTCAGCAGTGACCAGTTCGCCATCCTCAATGTGTGCAATGGCAAGTTTTGCACCATGGGTGGTGTTGGCATGATCAGCTGCAACACTGAAGACATTGCCTTTGCCACCTGATACACTATCATGTTTGCATAAATAAAACCCATGCTTCCACAAACCTTCAGACGCCACTCTTTGTTCCATATGAACAAAAACAATAACCACAAGCCACCATGAACACAAATGCAGAGGTCACACTGCTGTACATTTTGTCAATCATCAGGATTGTGGCGTTCCACACCCTGGCACCTCAGCTTTGGCCCACTGAGCACACAGGCAACTATGCGTTTGTGGCGCTAGCATATGCCACCTGCATCCTGCAAGCCATCCATGAACACAAGACTGAGTCCAATGGCAATCTTCTGTGCTGGCTCACCTCCAACGTCATTGCTGCCATCACAGCCACCCATACAGCTATCTTCTTTGCCATGGCATGGAACGCCCACACCATGGAGATCATGCTTGCTGGAGTGGGTGTGTTTATCCTCATGGTTGTGTTCCTTGAGTGTGAATGTGTGGAGTGTGATGATGATGATGACGACAGATCCAATGAAGAAGAATCTGAAGAGGAATTGTGATCACCAAGTGATGAGGAGGAACCTGACAACAGCACTGATGATGAGGAGCAACATGAGATCACATCCACTGATCGACCCAACCATCACATCTACTTTGAGGATTCAAGTGAGGAGGAAAAGGAAGAGGATGATGATGAGGAGGCATTTGTGGCGATCTGCGAATGATGCATGGGGCTGGATCTGTGTATATTTTTCCAATGTGTTTGGGTGAGAGCCTTTAATGAGCAACAACAATCACATTTACAGCCTGGTGACACCTGTGCTTGGTTTGGTGTTCCTCCCTGATGTGACTGCTCTGACTGGTGTGAGTGCCGTGCAGGTGGATCACTCCACCCTGCTCAACAAAGGCATCAATACACACATGCAAATAGATGTGTTTGTCACGTCCAAGGGTCAACCCAACAGGCTCATGGTGCTTGATGGCACTGGAAACATCCCTGGTTCTCAGCTTGGCAACGCCTATGCGCCACTGGTGACCAAGGGCGCCCTCATCATGGGCAACAGCACCACCTTGACCATTCTCCCACTGGGCACCATGAACCAGCTGCTCACCGCTGACACCAATGCCACAAATGGCATCAAGTGGGCGCAGGGCGACCACACCACTCTGAACAATGTTGGCACCAACACCCACGCACAGATTGACACCTTCATTGGATCCAAGGGCGCAGCATCTGGACTTGCATTGCTTGATGCGTTGAGCTTTGTGCTGGTGGTGCAGTTGGGCAATATGGGCAGCACCATGCCTGTCGCCATGCTGCTCACCATTGTGTGCCCATGGACTGAGGCCAGATGGGCTGGTGATCTCAATGTGCTCAAGACCACTGGTACACTTGTGCCCATGTACTTGGGTGCAATCAATGGTGGCGCCAACAACACCTACTTTGTCAACCTCACTGACCACACCCAGCAGCCCCATGCCATTGAGATCATGCTCAAGAACACATGCACTGTGTTGCTCATTGTTGACCCTGGCAACAGCGCACAGCTGCTGCTCAACGGAGGCTACTACTTGGAGCTGGGTACACACACCTTCATGGTCCTGGCGCTGGCCTTCATGCTGTGCAGCATCACCATGGGCACCTACATGGACAAGTGGAGTGGTGGCAACAGCATCACCTATGTGGAGGCCACCAGTGCCCTGTGCATGTACATTGGCGTTGGGTGCCCTGGAGGCCCCATGGCTTACCCGCCAGGCAGTCCTTTCAGCATCAGGTACATGCTCACTGGAAGCCCCTATCTGGACAACACTGTTGATGTGCAAGTGCAGGGATGGACCACCAGAAAACGTGGCATGTCATGTAAGGCAGGACATGGCGCCATATATATTCTTCATTAAACACCAGCACCAGCACCATGCAGACGACCACCAACACCAACAAGTGCCAGCACGCTGGGATCAGTGGAGCCCCTGAGACCTCTCTGGTACCTGTTGTGCACAAAGTTGAGCAATGCTGCATCTGGATTGTGAAATCCTGCCACTGGTGTTTGGCAACCAATGAGCACCATGATGTGTCACCACCATGATGGTTGTTGCCAGGGACAAACATAGAAAGAACAGGATGTTAATGAACACTGAGGTTGGGGATATTTTTTATTGGCGTTGAAGTCTCACAAGCACCACCACCACAACCATGAATCCAACACAGGCCAAGAGGAGGATGGTGGCCACTGGTATGGCCACACCCACTGCAATTTCCACAACGTGGTTGTCACCCATGGGCCTTGGCCATGAAGATGGTGTGGAAGGGGGCATGCTTGATGGTGTCACCAATGGCGTGCTTGATGGGGTGTTTGTGAAAGAGGGTGTGCTTGACAGTGTGGAAGTGATGGATGGGGTGGGCAAGTTGTAAATGTCCACCATGCTGACTGGCCCCCTGGTGCCACCAGCAAAGAGGGCCAGGTTGCTGATGGAAGTGGCTGCCAGTAAGTAATGGGCCTGGGAGAGTGTGGTGGTGGTCCATGTGTTGGATGACGCATTGTAGATGTCCACCATGCCAGAGTTCCCCCCCAAAGAGAAGCTGCCAGCAAAGAGGGCCAGGTTGCCAATGGAAGTGGCCACCAGTCAGCCACAGGCCTGGGAGAGTGCAGCAGTGGTCCACATGTTGGACAATGCATTGAAGATGTCCACCATGCCAGAGAACCCCCCTGTAGCCCAGCTGCCAGTGAAGAGGGCCAGGTCACCAACGGAAGTGGCTGCCAGGTGATATTGAATCATGCAGTTTGGCATCCACACAATGTGATGGTGCCACCCATGAAACAGACCTTGACCTTTTCAACCCTGTCATGTGTGCAGAGTGTGAGCTGGTTGGGCAAGGAGGTGGCGAGGGGCGTCTGTGGCAGAATGATGTGTGCTGCATGTTGCATGGGGCGATTGAAGTTTTCACATGTAGATGCACTGTGAGGAGAGTGTGCTGGTGTCTGATGACGCCATGAGAGCCTCTGATTTGGCGGTGAAGGTAGTGTTGTCTATCCTGAGATCAAAGTACAAACAATGTCCACAGAGGTTGCTCATCATGATGCCCATGTGCCCATGGTTTGGTGACCACATGTTACAGCACATGAGCACAAGGCCAGCTCTGTAGGTGCTGTCCTCATCACACCCAACTGGCAACCAATCAGACAGCAACCCAAAGCCAGTGGGCAGAGGGTGGACGTTGTTGTCATCAATGATGTGTTTTCAGTAGCGCCATTCCTCCTTTTTCATCAAGGCCAGCAACCACAATGGGCAAACAAACAGTGGAGTAGACACGCAGTGAGAACTCATCTTGGTCGTTTTTTGTATGTGTTTGGATTTCCCTTTGTATTTTAAGCAAGTGCCATGTGAATTCACTCAAAATCCATTGGAAACTGCCAAACCCATCATTGTGAATGTGTGAGCAAAGTGCAGGATGTTGATGTCCTCATAGTTGTAGGGTTTGCTGTTGAGATTGCAGAGTTGCTCACATCAGGTGGGTGCACCAAGCATGATGGAGATTGGGTCACACATGTCAACAGTGCCAGTGAGATGTTTCCACATCCAATTTGTGCCATCCTTGGTCAGCAAATCCACAATCCAGTCATGATGCACAATGAGCATCCTTGCATTCCTGCACATCCCAATCAACACCACAATCACAGCACCAAGTGCAAGACAGGATGTCAAACACTGCAATCCCAAGATGAGACCACATGCAGTCATAACCACAGCTGAATCAGCAGCCACACACATGGCCATGTTGACACCAGCAATCAGGTGTGGCCATGTGTCAAAGACAATGAAGTTTTGCATGTTGTTGGTCACATGGCTTGTTTCAGCATCCTATTTATTGGTTTGCAGTTCCAAATGCACTCACAACAAGATCTTTGATGAACTGGGCTATGCCAGGTGAGGTGCACTCAGGCAGTCCTGAAAACATGATGTTTTGGTAGCCCATGCTATAGACCATGATGTGCAGAAGATCTGCCAGGATGATCACTTTTTTGGGATTGAGATCCCACACAACAATGATGTCACCACACAATCCAGAGACACACATGTGCATCATGCCATACAAGGGTGAGTTGCACTCCTTGGGCAAGCAGTCACCACAAGCATAGGCAATCATCACACAAGTGCAGATTCCACTTGATGGTTTGACAAGAAAGGCCACCACAAGATCAGACATGTCAACATTCTCAATGTCACAGTCAGTGCAGCATTTGTCACCAGCACAAATGGACATGCATCCAGCAGTGGCAATTTCAAGCCTCATGGCACCACACAGGGCGCCCTGGTTGGTCCCATTCTGTCTGCCTGAAACAATAGTGATGTTGGTATGCATGGTTGGTATGGATTGAACAGTGTGGCTTGTCACCCCCTTTTATTCTTCACCCCAGTTGCCAATGAACACAAAGTGCAAGTGTGAGAACAAGGCAGTGCCAATGGCCAAAAAGCCATGCCCTTCTGACAGATTGGAAGTGGTGAGGATCACCCATGCAAACAAACACAAGGTGGTCTACATCAGGCATGAGTGGAAGAAGGGTGGGTATGACCTTGAGGAGAGCAAGTGGGCCAACCCCTACTTCCTCAAGAAGGGTGCAATGCCCAAGGAGCACAAGGAGTGCCTTGACAAGTACCACAGGCATATCATGTGTGACAAGTATCTCTATCACGCCCTGCCTGAGTTGTGTGGCAAGATGGTTGGATGCTGGTGCAAGCTGCTGTTGTGTCATGGTGATGTGCTGGCTGAACTGCTCTGTGATTACAAGCCACTGACACCCAAGAAGCCGTGGCATTGCATCCTTGAAAATGGTTGTGTGCTTGTGGTGTTTGATGTGGATTGTGTTGTCATCAGCAATGAAGATGACTGCTGCTGTGGCAGCACTGAACTTGAAATTGACAATCTGTGTGAGGAGGATGTGAAGCATGTTGATGACCAAGTGTGCAGCCTCATTGGTGGCTTATTTGAGCATCTCAACCCCACATTGCTCACAGAGCCCTACTCCTATTCCACTAGCTTGGAGTGTGACATCCCCCAAGAGGGCAACTCAATCAAAGAGCTCATCAACATGGTGCACTACATGTCCCAAGACAAGGGGTGGCAGTCAGATCTGCCACAACACAGCAATTGTATCAAAGTGCACACCAAGGCTGAAAGGCTATAATAAAGTAGAGTTTCTGTCTAGAAACAGAAATGTCCTTTATCACAAGGAGCACAGCACTTGTGTGTACAATGCTGACTTCTTGTGGAGAAGTGGTGCCTGATGGTGTGACCATCAGGT